AGTGACCTCGTGGAAACCTTTTACAAAATTTAGTGACTATTTGGACAATTCACTCGAGAAGACTATTTGAACAATTCACTCGAGAATAATGTGACTTTAAGTTTGGGGTTGAGTCAACTCATAGAGTCAATTGTGCGCTTGTTTTATTGCTTTACATTATATGAAAAATCCATAAAAAATGAAAATTTTAAAAATTAAAAAAAAAAATGCTTTTGTGTTACTTAATTGTATAACATTGCCGTCTAATGGATTTTATACTTAAATTTGAGCTTCATTTATGATATGGGACTAAATTAGCTACTTTGTGCTTATTTTCTATTTATTGCTTATCATTGAGCACATAGTAATTTTTAATTGTTATTGTGGTTGCACATTATACAATTAAAATAAATTATTTAACATAATTGTGAGAAGAAGTTTGGGGGTCGTTAAACCTATAAAGGTGAATATCTGTGTGGAGTGATTTCAGCTAAGGATTGACGGTTTCTTAGGAATCTCATCCTATCTTCTTGTCCTTAAGAAGACTCTACTGATACGTGCGCAGCTCATAGGTGGGGTTGTCTTGTTTTGTGGAAGATATTCTTTAATTACTATGTCAGAGAAGGATTCAGATCATTAGTCAATTTACTCTTTTTATTTTCTTGACATTCCTTTTATTTCCCAAGCCATTCCATAGAGGTACAACATCCTATGTTTGTATTTTCTATTTAAAGGCCTTACGCCATGAATAAAGGAGCATCAAACCTTTTCTCCACATAACATTTATCATCTAGGAGGCTCGGTTCACCTCGAATTGAACCATTGAAGGAGGACAAGGATCCCTCGAAGAATCTTAGATATATTAATTTGTAAACATAGGTAAATTACACAAAGTCAATCCTTGCGCTTTACCTATTCACAAATCAGTTACGTGCTCTCAAACAAAAGCTCGTAACATCTACACTTGTTGTAGCATAAAAATGAGAGAAGAATGGAGTAGGAAAAAGCTACTAAAATTAATGTGTGAAAAGCTAGTCTTGTGTAGAAATACGAAGGGAGAGGACGGCCTTAGTGATAGGAGTGAAAATTACCTAGAGATTAGGAAGTGGTATCTCATTGGTATCACAAATGTTTAAGCCAAATTGCAACCTACAAGTGAGTTGAAAAAGGATATGCACTTACTGTTGGATAAAATAACAGTAAAGTGTAGAAAAACTTATAAATAGATCGAGTTTCGTGACAGCACGATGTCGTAAAGCGAAATTGCCCGTCGATAACTGCTGCGACCTCTGTGGACAATCACCTCCAGGATACAACGATCAAATAA